ACCTAAAAGTCGAGAATGATATCCCAGTCACCTTATTTAGGCTATCTCTGATGCCCGATTGGATGGAAACAAAAATCTGTGTGACTGTACTCAGAAAAGATCAGTTCCTTAGGTGTTGCACTCTTCTGTATCTACAAAAACAGCAAAAAACAAAAACAAAAGAAGGGAAACCGCCGCTGGTACGGCGCACGAGCAGGTGCAGCGCCGCGCCGTACACCGTGCGACGCACCACATGCTACGGTGCACGGTGCGGTTGCAAATGCAATAAATCGCAGTTTCCCAGTGGGGCTGTACACTAAGTGTTTGGTTTTGTAGTTCGTTTTCTTGCTTTGAGCCTGTCGGGCCTCGATCCCATGACCTGTGATTTGTATGTGTTTTGTTTGTTAGTTTTGAGTCCTATGGGACTTGATCCCTGCGTCGGTCACTAGTAGTCTCTGTTTGGTAGTCCTAGGCCATTCGGCCTTTCAGCCTTTTTCTTTTGCCTTGTCATAGGTCTAGGCCCCCTTTTCCACTGTTCCCATCTAGATACGGATAGGTCTTGGGTTGTTGCCTTGGGGAGGCCCTCTTCCCTCTAGCGGAGTGTAGAAGTAGCAGGCAGGAAAATTAGTTTGGGTCTTTTCACGTTTTGTTGGCTGGGGAAACTCTGCCCGTCCATTGCTGGAGCGCTGCTGCTCTATTTCGGGCAAGGTCATCTTCTTCCTCGACGCCCAGCCATAGCTGGGGTTGGGAAACGAAGTTGAAGATCGCACTGCTGCTATTCCGCAGCTCTGCATGAGAGCTTCCACAGGTCTGTGTGTGTTCGGTTTGGGTGCTCCCATCTTCCACTTGGCAGCCATATCTGCTGTTCCTCCTCTCGGGCAACTCTGTCTTCTTCGAAGTCCTCGATCGGTTGTCTCCTTCTTCATCAGGACTTCCCGTGCTGCACGTCCGCGCGGGTGCTGAGCTGGCGCTGTAATCATTGGGGTTGCTGGTTCAGATTGGCACGAGGTGACAGCTGTGGGGTTACTGCTGCTGCGGCAGCCATAGCCAGGGAGGGGGTATGAGGTGGCGCCGTGGCGAGGAGGAAGAAGAAGACTCCTGCATGCATACTTCGTTGAACACTTGTTTCTGGTTGTTCGGGGTTGTCGTAAACGCGGTTGTGATTCCTGGAACAAGTACTCTGGAATCTGGATTGATTGGAGGACGACGACGAGGGGGATTGCAGAATCTAAATTCGTTTTACAATTCAGAACTCTGTGTGTGTTTTGAGCTTCCGCTGTGCATATTCTCGCTCCGGTTTTGTGTGGATTTGCCGCGTTTTACAATTCAGAATTCTGTGTGTGTTTTGAGCTTCCGCTGTGCATATTCTCGCTCCGGTTTTGTGTGGATTTGCCGCCTCTGAGTCTACTCTGTAATTGCATGCGTGTATGGGAACGTGTGAATTCGTTGTGGATGGAAGTTTAATCGGGTACATAACACAAGTACGATATATATTGTCAAAAAATATGATGAAATCATCCACTGTAATTTTATTTTATTTTTCTTCCATTCACTCGATTTTTTGCACTTCCAATCCCTCATAAAAAGAAATATATACATAGTTCTATTTGACGATATATATATATATATAATTAAATTAAAAAATGGTTCGCATTTCTGAGGGTTCAATTGTGTTTCAAATCTCACTGATTTTCACCCTTTTGACTACAGATTCCCGGGAAGGCCGTCTCCATTGCACATAGGGCTATGGCAACCCAACCCATATCTTGCTTTGATTGGTATGTACATGCACAACAAAAGTGTCCAAGTTCATTTCATCCTTGCCATTTTGTGGGTGATCTATTTAAGCCCCTCTCTTTGTCTGTTAACCGATAGAAAACCAATATAATCTCCTCTGTATTTTTGCTATTTCAATGACCAACACTACCGTCTTCACCCGAATAGAACACCCGGTCATGATCGCTGGCATCTGGACTGAAAGTTGCCGCAAAATCCAGCTACAGTGGCCGGGCGTTCTATTCGGGTAAAGACGGTAGCTCGGTGGATGGATTGCACCACCACTACCCTCGTCACCCGACTACAACGCATGGGTCATAATCGCTGTAGTTTTCAAAACGTAACATACCCCAAATGCCATACCCCAAATTACCCCAATGCCATACCCCAAATTACCCCAATGCCATACCCCAAATTACCCCAAATTACCCCAAATGCCATNGCCATACCCCAAATTACCCCAAAATGCATACCCCAAATTACCCCAAATGCCATACCCCAAATTACCCCAATGCCATACCCCAAATTACCCCAAATGCATGCCCCGAATTACCCCAAATGCATGCCTCAAATTACCCCAAATTACCCCAAATGCCATACCCCGAATTACCCCAAATGCAATACCCCAAATTACCCCAAATGCAATACCCCAAATTACCCCAAATGCATGCCCCAAATTACCCCAAATGCATGCCCCAAATTGCCCCAAATTACCCCAAATGCCAAGCCCCAAATTACCCCAAATGCCATACCCCAAATTACCCCAAATGCCATACCCCAAATTACCCCAAATGCCATACCCCAAATGCATAGAGCTGTAATAAATGACCGTGCACGGCGTGCATTGAATTCTAGCGAAGACGGTAGCTCCCTCTACTTCAGCTGGCTGCCAAGCCACTTAGGGGTAGAAATTTGTGGTTGGATCAAATTCGGCTTTTGCCTTCACTGCATGTAACAGTGTGTGGAAGTGTCACCCTCCAGGCATGGGGCAGTGTACTATGCATCTGGTCTCCTATTCGCCATCTCCATCTCCCTCCCACTACTACTAATGGTTGACGAGGGTCCTGTTATGTGTTCTATCCGACAGCCCACTTGATTTGCCAAATTTTATGGTTGCCCAGGTGCTTCCCTGTTTGCCGTTTTGCTGCCCTTCTTGCCTTCCTCACCACCATAAATTATTGCTTAAAAAGGGCAAACAGTTGATTCGCTGTTTCGAACTGTTTGCCCTTTTGCCGACTTCTTGCTTTCCTTGTCACCATTGCTTTAGAAAGGGAAACGGCCTTCAAGTTGATATATCATCTTTAAACTGACCGGACCTGATGACGAGGTAAATTCATAGGTATTTTAAGTTTTAACTCGTCATCTGATTCCATTGGAATTCAAACTCAGGTCTGTTTTCCGTCAGGCGATCGGTGTACCAACCGAGCTATAAGCCCCTCTGTCTTGCTGTTTGTCATTTTGCTCCCTTCCTGCCTGCCTTTCTTGCCCACCCTTGCTGTTTGTCATTTTGCTGCCTCCCCGCCTGCCTTGCTGCTCGCCTTAAACCACCAGTACCCGAGAGGGCCTTTCGCCCCCTCTGGGCCCCCTCTGACACAAATGCATATGGACCCCCACGGCGCACCAATTCAGCCTCCGCGTTAACGGCCTAAAAACGTGGAGGTACTTGTGTGTGTGTGTGCGTGTGTGTGTGTGTGTGTGTGTGTGTGTGTGTGTGTGTGCACGCATCTCCCATTCCCATGAGATTGTCAGGTGGAATTAGCTGTGCACACATTACGTGCAGCTTCCATCTCATGGGAATGCAAGATGCGTGTGCGCGCGCACACACACACACACACACACACACACACACACACACACACACATGCGTGCATACACACCCACATGCACATGCACACATACACATGCACAGTATTACAGACGCGCACAAACACGCACACATGCAGGCATACACACACTAGCTCCACTCGCTGAGAAACCGACCACCCACACCTCATGAGGTGAAAAAAACACACGGCGCCTGCAAGTCCCACCCACAACAGAAGCCCTCTGTGCATGACATCGATCACTCCACGAGCCCGGCACTCCACCAAGAGAACTCCGCATGGCACAGGGAATGCCTATTCTTCTCCACTTGTGCTCCAAAACAGCAGCCTGCGGATTTGCGCCCCCAGAAATCATTTTCCCCTTGAAGAATAGTGAAGCCGCTACCATTCCTTTTTTTTTTTTTCTGAAACACCAAGGTGCTGCGCAAACAGCATGGCAAGCGCCATATGGCATTCCCTGAGTCATGTGCGTGTATCCGCACGCCGGGTACAAACACTCTCCCCTTTGACGAAGAAAAGGCATTTTCCTTTCCTCTCCCCATGTGCTCCAAAACAGCAGCCTGCGGAATAACACCCACAGCAGACACTCTCTGATCCCCCTCGTGCAAGCACATCAGAAGAGCGTGTGCTGGTGGGATCAGAAATTGCTTGCAGGGATGAAAGAGTAATTGCAGGGATCAGAGGGTGTTTACAGGGGTCAGAGGGAGCTTGCATGGATCAGAGGGTGCTTACGGGGATCAGAGGGCGTTTCAAGGGGTCGGATCGGAGGGTGTTTGCAGGGATCGGATCAGAGGGTTTGTGGGGATAACAATAGAATCAGAGTGTTTGCTGCGGGGAAAAGAGAGAGTGTGAACAGAGATCTGAAGAATGTTTGCAGCGACTAGAGGGTGTTTGCAGGGATCAGAAGGGGTTTGCAGGGATCAGACGGGGGTTTTGCAGAGATCAGAAGGGGTTTTGCAGAGATCAGAAGGGGGTTTCCAGCGATCAGAAGGGGTTTTGCAGAGATCAGAAGGAGTTTTGCAGGGATCAGAAGGGGTTTGCTGCGGGGAAAAGAGATTGTTTGCAGCAATCAGAGTGTTAACGCAGTCAGCAGACGGGAAGGGGAGCCTAGATCGATGGACTACGACAACAAGGGTAAGATATGACTGTGTGCGGGGATAAGGAAAGAGAGAGTGTTTGTATGGATCAGAATGTGCTTGTAGGGATTAGAGAGTGTTTGATGTGGGGAAAAGAGAGTGTTTGCAGCAATAAGAGTGTTCACGCAGTCAGCAGACAGGAAGGAGGCGTAATCGACGGACTGCTACGACAAGGGTAAGATCAGACTGCTTGTGGTGATAAGGATAAGATATATTAAGATCAGACAGTTTGCTGCAGGGGTCGGAGTGTTCGCTGGGATGAAGAGTATTTAAGGATTAGAGCAGATCATCAGAGTGTATGCTTTTCCTTCAGGGCACATCCGTTTAAACTTTAAACTGAAAAAAGATACAGACAAGATCAGCATGGCCCCTGTGCAAGAAGGATGACGCGCATAAATTGAGAAATAGTCCAAATAAATTAGCAGTGGGGCACGGGACTTAGAAGAGCAGCAAGGCACAGGACCGACCGGCAGTGGACAAAGAAAATCGAGAGCATAGGGAGCAATGTTTGTATTTTTTTAGTATTTTATTAATTTTTACAGTTTGTTTTTCGTATTTTGTATAAATGCTACAAAGTTCTGCAATGTTTTGTGTGCTCTTAATTGACACAAAACGTTTTCTTTTTTTTTTTTTTTTACAAAAACCTTTTCCTAACTTTTCTTTTCCCTAGTTTCTTTTTTTCCTAACTTTTTTTTTTTTTTTTCAAACTACTTTTTTTTTCTAACTATTTTTCTGACTTTTGTACTGTCTGTTTCCCTGATTGTGTATTTGCGTTATCAAAAATTATTGCTGCGCTTTGTTGGCCTCGCTTTTCGATCGACTGCTCTGTGTTTGGGGATCGCCCAACGCTACGCCTGCAATCGTCCTCCTCCAATCTCCGGACATATTCTGGCCGGCCTGGATTTGTCCGGAATTTCTTACCTCCAATATGGGGCTAAACGTTCGTAATCTAACCATTATTAAAAAAAAAAAAAAAAAAAAAAAAAAAAAAANAAAAAAAAAAAAAAAAAAAAAAAAAAATCCTGCCAATGAATGAATGAATGATCAAACCTTCATTCACGGTGATCCGCGACAACACCTCTCCTGCCGAACGAGATAACTGCTCATCGACACTCACGGCCTACTCCGGTCAATGAAAATCGCAAAAACAACGAAACGCTCGGCAACGAATCTGCGGAAACGGACATTGCGATTTCAGGAGTCCCGACAAGGAGGGGCTTGCAGTGCTAGGTTCCTTCGACCAGACCTTCCGCGTCGCTCTCGTGACCAAGCTACACAAGATGTGAGCAGTGCAATCCAGGCTCCCGGTCCCTCGCTTGGCCAGCGTTTCAACTTTCATGGGGCTTGTGATCAGGGACTTGAGCAGAACTTCTCCTTTGCTTTCTGCAGGCAGGCCACTGCAGCACAGCATACCGTAGTGTAGTTCTTGAAGCTCACCGCTAGGTCAACATGCTCAGCGAAATGTTTTTCTCCTTCTGCGTGTGCCGATCGGCCCAATCACCTCATGCTTAGCAGCAATGTAACCGATATGATGCCGAGATTACGCACCCAGGGAGGCAGGCAGGCAAGCAGGCAGCCAGGCAGGCAGCAAGGCAGGCAAGCAGGCAAGCAGGCAGCCAGGCAGGCAGCAAGGCAGGCAGGCAAACAGGCAGCCAGGCAGGCAAGAAAGCAGGCAGGCAGGCAAGGTAAAGCAGTGCTGCACGCAGCTCTCCTGTAGGCAAGTAGCAAGCAGTGTTGCAGACAGCTCTCCTGTAGGCAGAGTAGCAGGCAGGCATTTTCAGGCACCCAAGCACGGAAGCAGGCAGGCAGGCAGGCAGGCAGGCAGGCAGGCAGGCAGGCAGGCAGGCAGGCAGGCAGGGCAAGGCAAGGCAAGGCAAAGCAGTGCTGCAGGCAGGCAGGATGCAAGTCAGAGTTGCAGGCGGTACGCCAGGACAGCAAGCTTGCGGATTGGCACAGTAACAGCAGGTAGGCAGCGGCAGGCAGGCACCCAGGCAGGGAAACAGGCATGCAGATCAGTATGGCAGGCAAGTGGGATGCAAGTGAAGCAGGCAGGAAGGAAGGACGACAAGCTCACCAATGGCCATAGCAGCAGTCAGGCAGGCACCGACATCCAGATGCAAGCAGTGGCGGGCACTGACATGCAGTGGCAGACGGTTGCAGGCAGGAAGATTAGCAGGCCCTGATACGCAGGGATGACAAACAGGCAGGGGGGAGCATATCCATGTTGAGGCAACCATATCGTATAATTTTGTGTGGGTACTGAAAAGGCTCAGCACAGTGGTTACAGGTGGCCGAAAACTTGCTGCAAATTGTAGGAAGCAGGTGGCCGCCATTCATCACCAGATCGTTGAAGTCCGCAACACTCGTCGCCTTGACCTAGGAAAACTGAAGACCATGTTGGACAGGAGAGAACAGGGATCTCTTTGAAGATTGAACTATTTCCAATGGACCTGTCAGAGGGGGAGGGGAGGGGAGGGGAGGGGAGGGGAGGGGAGGGGAGAGGAGAGGAGGGAAAAAGAGGGAGGAGAGGGGAGCGAAGGAGTGTGATAGAAGACAAGACAGCACAAGTATTAGAACAACGTCAAGAATGTGACTTCAGGCACAGTACAACCATGGGTGAAACGGAATAACGAACTGAACAAACAACGAAGTGCTCCCTATCAATACACACACACACACACACACACACACACACACACACACACACACACACACACACACACACACACACACACATGCATGCATGCATCTATATGGAAACAGTTTCAACGAGTACGTCAGCAACCAGTTTGTCTCGTAAGAAATTATAACAGATATCTTTGTCGGATCAAGGGAAAGCAATTATTTTAGCAGCTCTTCTAGGAGATGATCGTTCACTCAAAATATATTCAATAAGAATGCAAGATTCTTCATTCCACATAGCCAAATTCAAGAAGAATATTTGCTATGGTACACACGTAAACTGCATGCATGCATAGATACACACGTACGTACATGCATGCATACGCAAAACTTTCACAACGTGCACCACCATCATTACCTCTGTGGAACAGCATAAATATCGACCACGTCAACCACTCCTGCTGGTGGTGATTGCTGCCCTTCTACCACTCCCATGTACTCCATCCAATTCAATCTCCAGCATTCACTTATACATCCATCCATCCGTCCATCCATCCATCCATCCATCCATCCATCCATTCATCCATCGTCTGGTAGGTGAATCTATCCATACATACATACATACATACATACATACATACATACATACATACATACATACATACATACATACATACATGCATGCATACATACATACATGCATGCATGCATACATACATGCATCTATCCATACATACATACATACATCTGTCCGTCAGTTCATTCACTCATCCATCCGTCTGTCAGTTCATTTTCCTCCGTCCATTGATAGGCACATCCGTCCTCAGATTTCCTGAAAAAGAAAATCCGGCCTCCAGTTGAGGGATGAAAGTAGATCATTCTCAAACTGGCTTTCACAGTTTTCAGACCGAACTCGCATTGGCATCTTCTTCTAAATGAGTCTGACCATCAATATCGCCGGGTTCACTCAAAGGGGTCCCAATGTGCGCATGGCCGTATTCGCTTCTTCTCTTAAATGAATCTGGCCATCAATACGGCCAAGTTCACTAAGAAGGGGTCCTGATGTGCGGATGGACTCAGAGACCATCGTTTTCACCTGCCTTTTCCTCTTCAGTCGTTGACATCAACAAAACAAGCAACAAAGTCACCACCAGACAAGGACAACCACACACACGACCTCTCCTTTTCTCTACTTCTACATTGATGCCATTAGATGTTTGATTGATTGAGGAGACACTCTTCTGTCAGTAAATCTGAGAGACAGAAGGCCATGACGAAAGACACATAGACACGTGTCCAACGTGCACAATATCAAATGCATCTACGGACACGTGTCACAAGTGAAAGGTCTCTACAGATGGAGACGTGTGCTCGGATTGGGTCAGGGGGTATAGGCAACACATGTTTTGAGTGACATTTTTATTTTTATTTTTCAACAAAACAACTTCATTCAAGTTCATTGAGTGACAAAAAGTAGATGGCGCCTGGAAAACACGTTGACCAAAAACAAAAAAAAACAAAAAAAAAAAAACTCTACAGACACGTGTTCCATGTCCACTATGTCGACGTCTTCTTGGAGATGAAGAGACTTCGATCAGGCGGAATGCATCTGGCCCACCTCTCAGTCCAGATACCTGAAATACGGCATCGTTCCACTACATAATCGCCATGTCTCGCATTTCTGTGACAAGAGTCAGAACAGCACTAGAATGGGCGACCGGTCACATCGTTCGTTCAAGCTCTCGAACTGTTAATCCATCCGTCCGTCATGAAGTCCGTTAGCCGGTCCGGCAATCAATCCGTCAATCAGTACGTTAGCGCGAATCAGGTCGAAAAATCATATCAATCAACTAGTCTGGGCAGAGCCAATCAATCAACCAATCAACCAATCAATCAACCAATCAAGCAAGCAAGCAAGCAATCAACCAAGAAGGCAAGCAATCAAGCAATCAAGCAATCAAGCAATCAAGCAAGCAGTCGAGCAACCAAGTGATCAGCAATCAAAACGAAGCGATTAACCAATTAACCATCCAAACCATGAATCGAACGACCAATCAATCAATCTATATATCCACCAATCATCGTATCAATCAGTCTATCCACAGAACAAATCTGCGTGCTCCAATGTACACAGACTGAAGATTAGCATGGCCCCTGCCCAAAGGATGACACGCATAAATCGAGAGTTATCCGTCCACATGATCGAGGGGGAAAAAAAAAAAAGAGGAAAAAAACAACTAACAATTGCTCCTGGTCAGAGGCATGGATAAGACAGACACAAATACACAGATAAGGATAAAAATAAGGATAAGGGACGACAGGTACAAGGATGAGGACAAGGATATGGATATGGAAATGGATATGGATATGGATATGGATAAGATATGATTACTGGATTGTCCCGTGAAGGATAGGATAAGGATAAGGATATGAAAAATATAGAAAGTAGAAGTTAGTTGTGGCTTATGGATATGGATATGGATATGGATAAGGATAAGTCTAGAAAGTAGAAGTTAATTGTGGCTTATGGATATGGATATGGATAAGGAAAGGATAAGATCTGATTGTTGAATCGCCCTGTAAAGGATAGGATAAGGACAAGGCTATGAAAAAATAGAGATCGCAGAAGTTAATTTTTGTGACTTAATAGACTTAAAAAATAGAGAACGCAGAAGTTAATTGTGACTTAATAGACTTATAAATAGTAACATGAGGTGAATAATGGTTGATTGATTTTCATCATGACTGAATGTCAAAATTTTCTCTGATCTTGTCTCAAGGTGACAGGATTCGAACCTGCGACCCTCTGTACCGAAAACAGATGCGCTACCATACTGCGCTACACCTTGTCATGTATGTTCAATTGGTAATTGGAAATTCAGCGGATTAGCTTTCTTTCTTTTTCCTCCATTCAAATTTTCCTCTTCCCTCTTTTTTTTTTTTTTTTTTTTTCAAAAAGGATTTAAAAGGGGGAATTTTATATATTTTTTCACATAATATCAGAGCGCCAAAGCGAAAAAAACAAGGAAAACAAAAAAAACTTAAATTCGTTTTTAATCTTCTTCCTTACAACTCCCCCTGTTCAGAACCTCTTGCGTACAAGGCCGCCCACGTGGATGTAGGTTGAGCGGCGACTGCCCCCACCCAATTTAACGCATTAGCTGCGCCACTACATGACGATAAGGAGAAGGATAAACATAGGAAGGGGATGACAGCTATATAAGGATATGGATAAGGATATGGATATGGATAAGGATGTTATGGATAAGGATATGGATACGATTTGATAATTGGATATAGTCGGGGAAAAGATCACAAAAAGATGCAGATAAGAAGGAAATACGGGATAGCATAGGAACAGGGATAAAACAAGTACTCGAACTTTTTCCACTTCTCTGTGGACGTAATTGCGGTCAGGTGCATCCGTGCCGGGTCGGAAAAGCGATCATATACATCCAGGAAAGTCCTACTAGTGTGAGTCTTCCCTGAGGAGCTCCGCACAGTGTATGAGAGCGATTCAGGACTGCTACTCTTTCAGGAATACGGGTGAGGACAACGATAGGGATCGGGATATGCAATAAATACGGTGAATATGGTCACACAAAGGAATTGGGTAATATTCTAAAAATACAACGGTATACATCCATCCATCCATCTATACTTACGCCTCTCTCTCTCTCTCTCTCTCTCTCTCTCTCTCTCTCTCTCTCTCTCTCTCTCTCTCTCTCTCTCTCTCACACACACACACACACACACAC